TCTTTCGTAAATTATAAATATATAATTTTTATTGTATATGCATGTGAACAGAATGCAGGAGGTAATTTTTATTTAGGCAAGAAAGTCGGGCAAGGGATTAATCTCCCTCTTGAAGCAATTTTTACGAAATGGCTCTTCCGCTGCTACCGTTTTCTGTCGCCGCTCCCTAATGCACATACCACACGCGATAAGTGCTAATTGATCCTGCTGCAATAATTTTGTAGGAAAATACAGCGCACTACGAATTGCATCACAATCTCGAAAACGATCGCACTCCAAATCGGAAAAAGCACTTAAACAGAGCAAAGTCATCAAAATAATGTCAAAAATGACTCCAAAATGATCACTAAAAGTCACCTTTCAATCATGTACGGTTCGTTTTAACATCAATTTGCCATGATTTGTTCTGCTTGGGGCATAATTTTTTCAAGCAGAATATCAAATCACGTCAAAATGATGTTAAAATAAATCGTAACTGATTAGAGAGAGACTTTTATGTCCATTTAACTTTAATTTTGATTTAATTCACTTTTTATCTTTTCCTAGTTATAGGAATTAGAAAAAGATAGAGTAAATTAAACTGAAATTAAAGTTTATCTATATTGGTATACTGTTAGATTGTTAGATATCAAAGGAGCAATGGTAACCTAATCATTTGAGTTAAACAATGTTTTGTGTGTAATTTTCGTCTTCCATGTGTGTCAAAATATAAATCAAATCCATTTCTGTGGTTAGTTTCAAAGTAAAAATCGTCCAGATCCAGATAACGTATGCATTAGTAAATAATATTTAGTAAATAATAAGCCAAGTTTGAGTCAAATTTAATATATTTTCTTGAGTCGAATTGTTAAACTCTAATTGTTATCAGAGACAAATAAAATGTTACAACAACTAAACTTTTTGTCTCAACTAAATTATTTTATTTCATCAACCAAGAATTTGTTTGCTCATATCCAAACAAAAGATTAGTTGATTCAACTGAATGAGATTCTCAGTATGCATTAGTAATCATTTTAGAGCCGTTTTGATGTCATGATGACTAGTGTTCTGCTTGAGCTCCGCTTGTATTCGATTCAAGATTTGCCCTAGTCTCTGTTCATAGTGCATTAAGGGATACGTTACGTTGATGCATACGTAATGCATTAATACGTTTGTGAAGATGCATGTGCATCTATAGACGCGCCGTGTAATCTCGTATCGACGAACGAAAGCCAGTGTGTTATACGGTATTCCAGTGACCCATCTCGAGTCGCGCGACAGAGCCACTAACGAGATTAATATCCCGTGCGTCATTAGCTTATTCGGTATGCCCCTTAGATATCATCATTTCGTTTTACCCCATTACGAGGATACGCCCGGGAAAGCGTGTCACAGATACGCGATCCTTTTGCTAACTCAGTAGGAAGGTTTTTTCGAAGCAAATTCCGAACGATGGCACGTACCGCAAATAAAATAAGGAATGAAAACTCTTTGCGGGAAGCTAAATTAATAATTTTCAGAAAGTCCCGGCGGGGAAGGGTACCCGAGGAAGAAGTTGTTATGCATTTTTTAAAGCGTATGAGCGGCTACATATCTTCGGAGATACTTGCGAAGTGAATACGCCCCTTTTGCAGCAGGCGAAATATTTTTATGAGTACTTTTAACAATGGACGAACGTTTCTGAGATAAATTCTACTAGGCTTCTTTTGACAAATAATAAGTTTTGAAGCTCAAGTATTAATTTTCGTATGACGGAACATTAGCCTAAAATTAACGGAAAATGAATGCAAGCGTCATCCCCGTGACATTTATTAATTTATATCGTTTAATTTAAGATTCGTCAAATTTTCGTTTATTCAAATTCATTTCTTTCTATATTTTAATAGAATCCTGATTTGCAGCGCGATTTGCGATGTCAAATGTTAAAAAGAACGTTGAAAGCGATGACCTCTCTCGTTTTTGCTAAAAAAAAATTGACAAATTGCTGATTGTGAGATAAAATATTTTACGAGGCTTTTTTTTAACAGATATGATAGCTTCGAAAAGCATTAATTTTGATAGATGTTCTAAAATCAGCGAATGCATAGTGTTATTCCTTTGCAATTTTATTTAACGTTTAATTTAAGATTCGTCATTTAAATTATGATGGATTTTTTTTATTTTAGTGGAATCCTGATTTGCAGCGCGTTTCGTAATATCGAATGTCGAAATTTAGAACGTTGAAAACGATGACCTCTCTCGACATTTTCGTTAAAGACAAAATTGGCAAACGTTTCTGAAATAAACTAGTTTTTTTAACAGATACAGCTTTGTAAAGTATTAATTTTCACACGATAGACGATCTAAAATCAGCGGAAAGCGAATATAGCATAGCGTTATCCCTCGTGAAATTTTATTCATTTAATTTTAGATTTGTCGTTCAAGTTAAAGTGGATTTTTTATTTTAGCAGAATCCTAATTTGCGGCGCGTTTCGTGATATCGAATGTCAAAATTTTTAACGTCGAAAGTAATAATCTTCCTCGATATTTCCGCTAAAAATAAATTAGCAAAAGTTTCTGAAGTAAATTATTCTATAATTATTCTATAAGGCTTTTTTAACAGACATAGCTTTGAAAAGTATTAATTTTCACGACAGGCATTCTAAAATTAGCGAAAAGCGAATACATAGCATTCTTTCTTGTGAAACTTTATTTATCGATTAATTTAAGATTCATCGGTTAAGTTATGATAGATTTTTGTTTATTTTAGCATAAATCCTGATTTACAGCGCGTTTCGTGATATCGAATGTCGAAATTTAGAACGTTGAAAGCGATGACCTCCCTCGACATTTTCGCTAAGGAAAAATTAACTCCGGCCAGGAGCTGCGTTATATATCGATTGTCTGCCAATTCTAGGACGTTCTATAGATCCGCCCATGAAATAAGAACGCTCTGATACGATCATTAGCCGGGAACTAACGGGTTGCCCGAGCCACTGGTTAAAAATGAACCCTCGCACCTGGGGCACGGTACGGCGAGCCGCTGCGAAATTCCGAGATTTCTTCGTACATTCCCGAATCTCATTAAGCAACATCGGAGGGAGTCACGCGAGCGAGGAGAATGTGATTCGGGGCTTCGAATGAGAATTCGAACGCGGTGTAGAGGCCTCCAAGTCGCGACGCGCCGCGTCGGGTGGAGTTCCTCGGCACTGCAATGTTGGCGGTGGAACGCAACGTATCCGGGTAACGCGATCGTCGGCGTTTATTCCACAGGAAGTGTCTCCCCACGCACGAGGAAACCTCCGTCATTTTCTCGTACGCGATATAATATGCCCCGATAGTACATCGGATATTTCAGGGACAACTCCTTCGACAAATTTAGAATCGTTTTCCTTGGCGAAGTTATCTTTACAACAGAGTGACATATAAGATAAGAGTATTATAAGATAAAAATAATTAAGATTTTCTTGGGTAAAATTCATGTCTACATATAAAGTAAAACATAAGTGATAGCAGCTATTAAAGTGGCACATGAAGTGTTTAATTATCCAATTTTCAGGCTTTGGTAATTAATTTTATACATCCTGTACTAATTTTGTTGAAAATAAATGTTGTATACATATATAATAAATTTTGTTAAAAATAAATATGTTATAATATAAATCAAATGATATGACATTCGAAAAGCAATTAAAGGTGTTACGTGAAATGTTTAATTATCCAATTTTCAAGCTTTGGTAATTAATTCTATACCAATCTTGTACCAATTTTGTTAAAAATAAATATATATAAAGCAATGACATTTTGTATGTCATTCTGTATATAACTAACAACTACACAAGTTTTATATTACGCAGAATTAATGTATGCATTGAATAAATCTTATACTTATTGCAACTATAAAATTGCTTATTCAACTATGTACATACATTAATTCTACGTATATAAGCTCTACTCACACGTAGTTGTCGCCTATAATACCTATTATAGTTGCTACCATTATGTCTTTTTCTCTGTAATTGAATCGACGATGGACATACGATTACTTATTTGTGCCATCGCGATAGAAAACCTCCTCATTTCGAAATGATTTACACGAGGTACACTTACATTTACTTTGTGCAGGCAAAGAATAAATTTTACGTAACAAACGCGATCAATCTATTTTTATTCTTGCGGGAATTCGTAATCGCACGGAATGAACGGAAACATCTGCATCGTACGGTACGAAAGATCGCCGCTGCGAACTCGCGGTAGCGGGATCGAAACGAGAGGAACCCTTCGACAAATTCGGGGGTAAAAAAACGAAAAAAGAAAGGAAAATGCAAGACGTGCGGTATCGTGTGCGGGAGGAAGTAGCGAGGGTGCGTTCGCGTTCACCGTCCGTTCGTTCGTCCGCCCGTCCGCGAGTCGAACGCAACCCTCGATGGCTCGCTCGCTCGAGTCGACTCGAACGCGCTCGAACGAGGGTAGGGTCGAGCCAGCAACCCCTCGCGCATTTTCCCTTCGACGGCTGGCAAACTCCGTCCGCTCACGTTACCCCGAGTACGGAGTGCACGAAGGTACAAATATCGCCGTTCTCCTAGGCCGATCTTTGCGAGCGCCGCACGACGTTGCGGACGTCTTGTATTATCGATTGACGAAAGTTACGTGGAGGGACTCGCCGCCGGGGCACGGCGATCGTGACGTGAGCGAGCGAGCTGGGGCGAGAAGAGAAAAGAAAAAAAGAAAAGGAGGAAAGATCGGAGAAGCGAGCGAGCGAGCGAAGAAATTCAACCCTCGCGCTCTCGCTACTCTCTTCTCTCGCGTTCTTCCTCTCCTCTTCCTCTTCGCTCTACACGTTCTCTATATGCTGCTTCTTTTCTCGACTCCCTCGCGATCTCCATCGTGCCCTATTTTAGATCATCGTCGAGAGAAACAAACGCACCCCCGTTACTCGATGTAGAACTCCCGGAGCAATTTTATATCACAAAAAGGAGCGAGAAAAGCAAAAGACACTTGGAGAGACAGATAATGATGACGAAGGGGATGATCGCACTCACCCTCACGGGGTTAGACCGTCGCGGTGGAAGCCTCGTTGGCAGCACGGACGACGAACATGCTCGCGTCGGAAACGGCAGTAGTGGCAGTGGCGTGACTGGCGGCGGCACCCACGATGACGGCGACGACGGCTGTGACGACGGCGACGACGACGGCGGCGGCAGCGACGGTGGCGGTGGCAGTTACGATGACGTCGATGACGCTGAAGAACGCGAAGAACGCGACGACGGTGGCGGTGATGGCGACGACGGTGGTGGCGGTGGCGGCGACCGCACCACGAGCGGCGACGTTAGCGTTAGCGCGAACTGGCGATGACGGTGACGACGATAATGACGGTAACGATGATGATGATGACGACGAGTAGTCACTTCCCACCTCCGTACAATCCGGGGAGGGCACCATCTCCTCCTCGCCCGTGCGATCGCGTGCACACCCGACGACAACGACGACGATGACGCCGACGTCTGCACTACTACTACTGCTGCTGCTGCTGCTGCTGCTGCTGCTACTACTGGTCTGTGCGACGACGACCACCGCGCTATGACACCACCGTGGTCCCGCTACCACGCTGAGTAACATCGTCGCAGTGTCATCGTCGTCGCGCCCCTCGGCGTGCGCCCCATTTTTCGCGTGTTGCTGGCTGATACTGCTGGCTGGCGCTCGATCGCATCCACCGTATGCGTGCGACGGCCGGGGGTGGGCGCGAAAGGAAAAAAAAAGGAAAAAAAGGGTCGAACGAACGCACAGGACGCACGCACTCTTTCGTCGCTCTCTTCCTCTCTCCCTTTCTCCCTCTTTCTCTCTCTCGCTCTCGTTCACTCTCTCTCACTCTCTCTCTCTCTCTCTCTCTCTCTCTCTCTCTCTCTC